GAACAATGGGAGAAGGGCGTGTGGGGTGAGACTTGGTGTCTGGACTGACAGGGAGTTCTCTGGGGACCCGCAGAATACATGGGGTAAGTTTTAAGGTCAATGGAAGTTTCGCAGGGAGTTGGTGCAAGAGCCTGAGTAATCCCCTTTGTTAGTTGAGTTTTGGATAAAGGGCAAAGGAAAAGAAAAACTTGTATCCAGGTAGAGACAGTCTCCCAGGGTAGGCACGGACGTGATAACAGGAACTCAGCCAGGCAATGAAATCTGTAGTAATTTATAATAGGTGGCCACACAAGGCCAGCGAGCATAGTTCAATCACCAGGGGACGTGGCTCAAATAAAGAAAGTCTGAGGATGTAACCAAAGCACTCTCCCCAGCATGATGGTTTTACTAACAAGCAGTGATGGTAAATATGACAGCTCCGAGTTTTCTACCTTCTTGCCAGTTTTAACGTGTATTCAGCTCCAGCAGGGTGCTTCCGTGCAACACTGATAAGACGCTGTCTTCTTTTTTTTTTTTTTTTTTTTTTGAGACAGAGCCTCAAGCTATCCCCCTGGGTAGAGTGCCGTGGCATTACAGCTCACAGCAACCTCCAACTCCTGGGCTCAAGCGAGTCTCCTGCCTCAGCCTCCCAAGTAGCTGGGACCACAGGCGCCCGCCACAACGCCCGGCTATTTTTTGGTTGCAGCCGTCACTGTTGTTTGGTGGGTCCGGGCTGGGGATTCAAACCCGCCACCTTAGGTGTACGTGGCTGGCGCCTTAGCCTGTTGAGCTATAGGCGCCGAGCCTGTCTTCTTTATCTACTAAGTTTGAGAACATTTAAAAAAATTGTTGTGATGCTTGGCGCCCGTAGTTCCGTGAGGAGGGTGCCGGCCACATACACTGAGGATGGTGGGTTCGAGGCCCGTTCTGGGCCTGCTAAACAACAATGACAACTGCAACCAAAAAATAGTGAGATTTGGCCAGCGCCTGTAGTCCCAGCTACTCGGCAGGCTGAGGCAAGAGAATCACTTAAGCCCAACAGTTGGAGGTTGCTGTGAGCTGTGACGCCACAGCACTCTACCCAGGGCCACATAGTGAGACTCTGTTTTTTTTTTTTTTTTTTAAAAATCTGGCTTGGTGCCTGTGGCTCAAGTGGCTAAGGCGCCAGCCACATACACCTAAGGTGGCGAGTTCGAATCCAGCCTGGCCCCACCAAACAACAATGACAGCTGCAACCAAAAAATAGCCAGGCGTTGTGGCGGGTGCCTGTGGTCCCAGCTACTTGGGAGGTGGAAGCAGGAGATTCATTTGAGCCCAGGAGTTGGAGGTTGCTGTGAGCTGTGATACCACAGCACTCTACCCAGAGCTTGAGGCTCTGTCTCAAAAAAAAATCTATGAATGGTGCCCAGCACAGTGGTCTACGCCTGTAATCCTAACATTCTAGGAGGCTGAGGCAAGTGGATCTCTTGAGCTCACTGAGTTCAAGACCAGACTGCCTGAGAGTGAGACTTTGTCTCTACTAAGAATAGAAAAACTAGCCAGACATTTGTAGTAGGCACCTGTAGTTCCAGCTACTCAGGAGGCTGAGGCAAGAGGAAGTCTTGAGTCCAAGAGTTTGAGGTTGCTGTGAGTTCTGAAGCCAGGGCACTTTACCCAGGGTGACAGAGTGAGACTCTGTCTCAAAAAACAAACAAACAAAAACCCCCCAAAAACCAAAACTATGTTTGGGATGAAATGTTTATCAGCTCATAGTGATTTCTTGAATTATCCCTCATTATTATTATCATAAAGACAGTGACCGCCTTGGGAAAGAATATTATAAATTGTATTTGCTGAAAGCTAAAATAGTAGAAACAGCAATAGAGCTGGGCACGGTGGCTTATGCCTATAATCCCAGCACTCTAGGAGGCCAAGGCAGGTGGATTGCTTGAGCTCATGAGTTCAAGACCAGCCTGAGCAAAATCGAGACCACCCCTCCCCCGTCTCTACTGAAAATAGAAAAACGGAGGCAAGAGAATCGCTTGAGCCCGTGTTGAAGGTTGCTGAGAGCTGTGATGTCACAGCACTCTGTCAAGGGTGACAGCTTGAGATTCTGCCTCAGAAAAAAAGAAAGAAAGAAATACCAATAGAGTTCTGGTTTCTGCTGCTGTTAATTTGTTTGTTCATTCATTCCACTGATATTTATGAAGTCCCTGCTAGGCCAGGTACTGTAGTAGGCTCTTCTCTGGATTTTGAGGGGCAAAGATCACATAACGATAAGAGGGAAGAGCAATTCAGGCCATGGGAACAGAATAGCAAAGGGCCCGAAATGGGAATGTACTTCTTTCCTTTGGGCAAAATGATAAAAGAAGTAAACAAATACCAAGTTCTCTGTGAGATGTGCTCTGGGCGGGCACCACATGTACGCCCCCTAGTGGGCATGCCAAGTAGGTTTCATTATTCTTTTTTTTTTTTTTGAGACAGAGCCTCAAGCTGTCCCCCTGGGTAGAGTGCCGTGGGGTTACAGCTCACAGCAACCTCCAACTCTTGGGCTCTAGCGAGTCTCCTGCCTCCGCCTCCCAAGTAGCTGGGACCACAGG